TGTCTGTGGTGACATTTCGTATCAGATCATCATTGTTAGTGAAGATGAGGTCCAGTGTATTCTCCAATTTAGTAGGCTCTATTATTTGCTGGTTTAAGGTGAATTTTGCACAGAGATTCAAAAGCTCATGTGTGTGTGAGTTCTCATCTGAGCTGCCTCCTGGTGTTACCACTTCAATAACATTATTTGCTATATTCCCCCATTTTAGGTGCCTTAAGTTGAAATTCCCAAGGAGCAAGTTGTTGGGAGCAGGAGCTGTAAGATTTTCCAGACATTGGTCAATTTTCAACAGCTGTTCTTGGTATTGTTGGGACGTTGCATCCGGAGGCTTGTAAACTACTACAATGACCAGATTTTGGTTCTCGACCTTTACTGCTAAAACTTCAGCTACATCATTTGAGATATTTAGCAGTTCCGCACAAATAAGTGACTCTGCTATATACAGGCCAACCCCCCTCTTTTGCCTGTTCACTCTGTTGCATCTGTATAGGTTGTAACCCGGGTTCCATATTTTGTTGTCCAAGTGATCCTTTATGCGGGTCTCTGTGAAGGCTGCGAACATTGCATTTGTCTCTGCAAGGAGTCCACGAATGAAAGGTATTTTGTTGTTCATTGCTGGCTTTAGACCCTGTATATTTGCAAAGAAGAACGTCATCAGATTGGTGGTATTGTTGGTACTGGGGGGACTTTTTTTCCTGGCACTAATATCTGTGTCTGTTGGTTTGGAGTGGAGGCCATCTGTGATTCCACCCCAGAAATGATTGGATTTGGTGTTACTTTCCATCTATTTCCCCAAGCTGATATAGCTCTTAGCTGGTGATTGATGTTGCTTAGAGCAGCTGGCATTTCTTCTCTTGGATAAGTGAATGTCAGTGTACAGTCATCTGCATGTGCATCGGATTCTGGGATGAGATGAAGAAAGTCATTGAAGTAGACATTCCATAACAATGGTCCCAGAATGCTTCCTTGTGAAACACTTGCCCCAATAGGATGTCTTGCTGATTCTGTTCCATTGAGAACTACCCTTAGAGATCTACAATGAAGGTAATCACTGAGGAGACACAACATAGAGCCTGCAGTTCGTTCTCTCTCTCTCTCTCTCTCTCTCTCTCTCTCTCTCTCTCTCTCTCTCTCTTCTCTCTCTCTCTCTCTCTCTTCTCTCTTTCTCTCTCTCTCTCTCTCTCTCTCTCTCTCTCTCTCTCTCTCTCTCTCTCTCTCTCTCTCTCTCTCTCTCTCTCTCTCTCTCTCTCCTCTCTCTTCTCTCTCTCTCTCTCTCTCTCTCTCTCTCTCTCTCTCTCTCTCTCTCTCTCTCACACACACACACACGCACACACACACACACACACACACACTCTTCTCTAGGTGCATAAACATTTAATATAACCCACTTTTCACATCCTATCCTTATTTTACTCCACATAATCCTTGAATATATATACTATTTATATTCCCTCTATTCCTGTCATAATTGATCCTTCAACATTATTGCTACTCTTTCCTTAGCTCTAAGTCTACTAGAAATCCCTGACCTAATCTCATATATTTCTCCCCACTGAAACTCTCCTACCCCCCTTCAGCTTTGTTTCACTTAGAGCCATGATATCCAGCTTCTTTTCATTCATAACATCCACAATCATCTCTTTCTCATCATCCGCACTATGTCCATGCACATTCAAACATCCCAGCTTAAAGGTTTTATTTTTTATTATTTTTATTATCACACTGGCCGATTCCCACCAAGGCAGGGTGGCCCGAAAAAGAAAAACTTTCACCATCATTCACTCCATCACTGTCTTGCCAGAAGGGTGCTTTACACTACAGTTTTTAAACTGCAACATTAACACCCCTCCTTCAGAGTGCAGGCACTGTACTTCCCATCTCCAGGACTCAAGTCTGGCCTGCCGGTTTCCCTGAACCCCTTCATAAATGTTACTTTGCTCACACTCCAACAGCACGTCAAGTATTAAAAACCATTTGTCTCCATTCACTCCTATCAAACACGCTCACGTATGCCTGCTGGAAGTCCAAGCCCCTCGCACACAAAACCTCCTTTACCCCCTCTCTCCAACCTTTCCTAGGCCGACCCCTACCCCGCCTTCCTTCCACTACAGACTGATACACTCTTGAAGTCATTCTGTTTCGCTCCATTCTCTCTACATGTCCGAACCACCTCAACAGCCCTTCCTCAGCCCTCTGGACAACAGTTTTGGTAATCCCACACCTCCTCCTAACTTCCAAACTACGAATTCTCTGCATTATATTCACACCACACATTGCCCTCAGACATGACATCTCCACTGCCTCCAGCCTTCTTCTCGCTGCAACATTCATCACCCATGCTTCACACCCATATAAGAGCGTTGGTAAAACTATACTCTCATGCATTCCCCTCCTTGCCTCCAAGGACAAAGTTCTTTGTCTCCACAGACTCCTAAGTGCACCACTCACTCTTTTCCCCTCATCAATTCTATGATTCACCTCATCTTTCATAGACCCATCCGCTGACACGTCCACTCCCAAATATCTGAATACATTCACCTCCTCCATACTCTCTCCCTCCAATCTGATATTCAATCTTTCATCACCTAATCTTTTTGTTATCCTCATAACCTTACTCTTTACTGTATTCACCTTTAATTTTCTTCTTTTTATTTTTAGGAAGCTATATGGGAGAAGGGGGTTACTAGCCCATTGCTCTCGGCATTTTAGTTGACTTTTACAACACACATGGTTTACAGAGGAAAGATTCTTATTCCACTTCCCCATGGATATGAAAGAAAAAATAAGAATAAGAATAAGAAGTTTATTTTGACATGAAACATGGTTGTACAGAGGAATATAATAGTTGGGTGTACATGCCAAAAGCCCCTTTGTATGCAGAGCATTTCAGGCAAACTTAAAAATTAACTTAAGATTAGAAAGGCAATAATATTTCATATGGTCATTCGATAAGTTACATTGAGTACAAGAGAATTGAATATTCTGTTAGGTAATGCTACATGGCTTTGATAAGTCTAGTAGAGAATTATTACACTGTTGAATTAGTTTATAAAGATTACAGTATTACACTGGAACAATTTACAGTATGATGTTTTACAATTTAGTACTATTTAAAACAATGAAATTTAGACATCCTAATTTTGAAGTACTGAGGAAGTGGTTGAGCATTCATCAGCACAATATGAGTAGCTTTTGAGTAACAGGTAGTTATTAGGTATGGTTTGTCTGGTTAATTTTGGGTGAACAAGAACTATTAAGAACTATTAAGAAAAGCCAAAGAAAACTCATATGAGTGTGTATACACAAACGTGTACATGCATGTTTAGTGTGACGTAATTGTAAGTAAAAGTAGCAAGACATACCTGTTATCTTGTGTATTTATGAGACAGAAAAAATACACCAGCACTCCTACCATCATGTAAAAGAAATTCAGCTTTCCCATAAGTTATTGGCTCTGCATGTGTTTATATAAAAATAGCTGTTTTCAGGAATATACTGGCTTATCAAGTCACTCTACTGTATTTGTTTTATTTGTTCATTGGTGCTGTATTTTGTACTAGGCAAAACTTTGTGTTTAATGGTCAGAGGAGTAGGAGGAGGTTTGTCCATGGCACCACCTAAATATATAAATACTCCATAGGTATTATTCTGATTTAGTATTAGTCATATTTGCAGTGCTGTCTCACCTACAACTTCAGTCCTCTTTAGACTGCATATGAATTCTGATTTCTCTGGACACTGCACTGTTCTTTGGTAAATGTGTGAACATTATGTAATTTATTATCTGTAGCATATCATTTCTTGTTTTTACCTTTCCCTCCCACCAGTACCTCTCATATAATGAAATCACAGATGAGAATTTTAGCAGTATCCTCACTCTTTATCATAGGGAGGTGTTAAGAATGTATGTGTTGGGGATTGTTTCTTTTGTTATTGGGTAAGTGCACTCTAGTACCAGTTGCAGTTGTTCCATTCATGACCTTATTTTTTTCTCTTGTCATTATTTCTTTCAGGACTGACTTCACTAATACCTGTGGCAATTTTTATTCATTGCCCATAGATCATCACCTACTGTATATTTTCTAATCATCTTTTCCTTATGAAAGCCCAGTTCTCCAGTTCATTTACGTTATACAGTACTCTTATTTTCTAGTTATCAGTGTTAAGGCTGGTGCCTGTGCCTAGTGTAATAGTACAGTAGTAACCATATCACTTGTCTGTCTTGTTACTAAATTTTGGTGCTCCTTTGCTTCTCCAAATAAACTTCCTTATCGAGCTGTAAGAGTGCACCAGAACCAATCATTAGTTAAATGCAATGAAAATAATGTGCAGTTTTATATGTAGAATTTCTCACTTCTGTGAAATGAATATAATAGGGTTGCTCTTTGTCAATTTGACACTCTCCAGAAAAAGGTACTTGAAATTAACAAAAGAATTACAGATAAATTTCCATACCTGTGCTTTCACCAAGATATTTCTTCAGTTTCCCTTTGGTATGGATATTTTAGTGGCAAATTATCTCATAAATTCTATTGTTCCTGTTCATTAAGCCTATTTGAGATTCATTCATGCACATTAATTTGATGTACAACCATGGCAGTGTACAACATCCACATACCCATGCCATAAACAGCTACTCTGGAACTAACCTCAACAAAATACAGTGGACCCCCGCTGAACGATCACCTCCAAATGCGACCAATTATGTAAGTGTATTTATGTAAGTGCGTTTGTACGTGTATGTTTGGGGGTCTGAAATGGACTAATCTACTTCACAATATTCCTTATGGGAAAAAATTCGGTCAGTACTGGCACCTGAACATACTACTGGATTGAAAAAAGTTCGTTAACCGGGGGTCCACTGTATATTTTTAACTATATATTTTTTTTTAAGTTCATAATTAATTTTCTCATTCTTCTTCAGTATAAACAAATTTATGATGCATCATAGGCAAATTAGTACTGGTATTAGTAAATGTGTCATTGTTTTCTCCTGACAGGCGCCTTTAAAACCCCTTGGTACTACCAGTCGCTCGCTCCCAGGTAACAAAGATGGTAGGTATTTCATGCTGCAGCAACCATGATTCATCTTTGGTGTATCACTTAGAAAAGTTTGACATGTTTGCATTATCATATTATATCTCTTAATAATGTAAACACCTGTATGATGTGTATTGCAGTCTTGTTATTAAAAATTATACAGGAGGTTAGGTTTTGAGATACTGCTGTAAAGCAAAAAGCACTGTAAAGTGAACCATAGCAGTGCTTCATTTTCCAATAAAAAAACAAGAGTTTATTACCTTGCAAAGGTTACAATGTGTGTTTACATTTCATAATTTGATTGGTACAAATAAAGCCACTATCATGCCGGGGCATTTCGGACTTAATTGACCTAATACTTAAGGACTACTTAAGTCTAGACAGGTAAAAGAGTGGTAAATTTCAAATACAGCCTCTCCTCATTTAACAATGAAGTTCCGTTCCTAAGGCCACATTGGTAAGCAAGAAGTATACTATAATGGTAGTGGATTTGTGTTAACCATCTTTAATATTGTTTTAATGTCACCTTTGCACCATTTATAGCATTTTTAGTATGTTTTTAAATGTTTATACAGTAGTGTACTATATATTGTAATAAACAGAATAGAGGAAATCAGCTCTAATATACATTATCTAGGTATGCATGCTGGTCAGAGAGCCCATCGTAAGTCCAAGTCGTCGGTAAATGAGTACATCAGTAAGTTAGGAGAGGCTGTATTCAATATTTTACTCTCTTATTAATATGATCAGGTAGTCAAATTTTTTAGTTAATAAGCTCTGTAATCTAAAGTAGATGAAACTGATAACAGTATTACAAGTACTGTAGTAGAATTTATGATACAAACACATTTTTGGATATGTAATAATGGTTTAATAGATAAGGGATAATAAAATATTTGGGAGAGTTGCTTCAGAATTGGTTTGAGATTAGCATTGGGTGGGTATGGTTATTACTGAGAGATGAGATGATTTTTAAGTATAGTCCTAAATTGATTTGGGGGCAGGGGATCTGTTACGTTGGTTTGTCCCTTATTACTTTGATTGTAAGGTTCTCACTACATGTTCTAGTGTGGGGTAGCTTTTACTTAATGGCCTTATTTGTCTAGGGGTAATACTTACATCATGGCTGATCATCTTGAGTGTCTCTGATACCTTTTCACCAGCCCTCTTCACAGGTTATGTAAACTACTACTATAAAAATATAACTGTATTCTCAATAGATATGTACAGAATATACAATCACAGCCTCCATTTTCAAAACAAATCTACACACTCCATCCTGTGCTCCACATGGTGTTTTTCCAACACTCTTCCTTCTCTCTCCTTGACATAACTCTGGGCTAACCAGTGTTTTGACACACTTTAGTCACCCTGGGTATGGTGGCCAAAACTTAAATTATAAAAACTCACCCCTGGAGCACACATGATGCCCCAAAAGATAGGAGAAGGACCCAGAGATCCTGCCAGGTTGAAGGTCAGCCACAGAGAGAGAGAGTCAGAGAGAGGGAGAGAGAGAGAAGCCTACCTAAGCTCCTCCCACCAAAACAAAAGACTGTTGCCAAGCACACTTCTCCAGTTACCACAATTCTACCACACCTTAATTTTACTTTTACAAAAAGAAATACAACTTTATAAACTACTTATTTAAATTGTGTGTTTATGTGTCTATAGTATAACCTATTATATTGAGAAAAATAGGTTTGACCCAGCTGCCTCTCAGTCATAAGGTTGATCAGTCCTTCTGACATTTAGAGCAAAGTCCCCATCAATTCAATATAATTAGGTATTACAAGGTAACTGTTACTTATAAATACATGTTGGGTCCTATAGCCCCATAACACCCCCACCTCCAGACGAAGTCTCACAAAAGCTAGCCGTGTCCCTCAGGATACGGCTAGTAAAAAGTATATTGCTTAAGTCTGAAGGCGGTAAACAAGACTACTAGAAATGCTACATATTTCCTAGCACCATAACTACTCCTCACTTTACTGTTATTTACAACAGATTGCAGAATTTTTCATAAAAGCATTTTAACCATACCCATATACTCAAGGGTGTAACTATTTACAATTTTAGTGACTTTTAAACAATACACATTACAATGCAAAATTTTGCACACAATGCCCACTGTGAAAGCCCGCACCAACAGGCCTGTGCCTCTGCTACGGTAATCCAGCAAGCAACTGGTACTCCAGGGTGGCATCTTCCTGATCAGGAGACGAGTGTAGAGCCAAACCCAGAGCAGTCAGGTGTACACCAGGCAGGAACTTCACAAAACATGTCAAGGTGTCTCTCACTTGGTGGCCGAACCAAACAGTGAGACTTCCAGTCAACACTCACGATCCTTAACATGGTCAGGCACTTAAGCCCATCTTCCGAGGTCCCACTCCACACAGATCCTCCAAACTTATGAAGAGGAGGCTGACATAGAACATGGAGGGGTCCAAGGGACCACAAAGGCAAATCGTCGGGCCGTTTTGTATATAGAGCACACCAAGACACAACATCACATACCTTCCTGAACGTCTCATGTTACCGAAGGTTGTCAACCACTGCCTCAACTCGCATTTACGTACACCCTGACCCTCGTCACACTTTTGGCTCTGACTCGACTCCTTCACAGTCATATGGCTGGTAGAGAGTACTCAGGCTCGCTGAGAGTTCACCACTGCAAAAACAACAAGGTCAGCACAAGACAAACACTATGTACAAAGTACGCACCATGCATCTACATGAAACATCTAAAGAGAGCATCAGCAACCACATTCTCTGAGCCTTTTATATATTTGACTTCCAAATTAAAAGGCTGTAGGAACAAAGCCTATTTTAAGAGTCTGATTTTAGTCACCATACACAGGAACAGGATGAAGAGATCCTGAGACATGTACAAATGCTGAATAGCCAGCCCCAAAATGAAAATTTTCTTTCCTGTGGTAAAATGTTGACATTTAAACTTAGAAGGTTGTTCATAGACAGTAACAGTTCTGCAACCTCTCGCAGTGCAACAACAAACACCAAAGACATCTCTTTGCACCCAGGTTGGATACATCAAGTTTACACAAACACCATCACGTTCCATCTCACACACAAATTTTAAACACACAATGAACACAATTTGCATTACACACATTAAAATGGTGCTTGAACACAGACCATGGAAATCACATCTTCCATGTTTTAGCTTATTTAAAATGTTTGCATCTTTTAGTGCATAAGTATCAATCTTTCTAACCCTGTAAACCTTAGTTGTTAAATGTACTTTGTGGTAGTCAGTGTTTATGCCCAGGGTGCCATCTAATTTGGGAACCATGAAGCATGGGAATGCCCACTGACTCTCACTAAGCACTACAAACTGGTGTTGGAAGAATTTCACTTCTTCCTCCATCTCCAATTTTTCATACAGATTTTTCCCACACAAAAATTGTTGAATTGGCTCAGGTTCCTTAACAATTTCCTCATTGAGTTTCAACTTTTCCCCATTACTGACATCCCAAACTTTTATAAAGTTCCAAGGTGGCTGAGCCAACTCTCCAACATTTTTCTCATTAAAACCAAGCATGCATTTCCCAAAATCTTTTACACATGTTATTTCTTAAATACACTTTTGGTATTTCATACAGATTATTGTTTTGCAGCCCTTTACATTCCATTAAAACATTGGTCTCTCTGAATTTTTGACATAACTTCAAACCCTTTAACCGGTTACTGTGTACACTATACTCATTCTTTTCTTGCTTGGGGGTGTGGGTTTTATATCTAACCCCTGGGAACTTCCCCCACAACATGTTCAGCTCACAGCAACTTGCTATACAGATTTTCACATGAATTGGCTCCAGTATCAGCACTTCCTCTCCAGCCTCCAGAGTATTATGGTTCACATTATGGTCCCACATCATCATCCTGGTCTGGTTGATGGGCACGTTCACTGGTACCATCCACCTCATATGAGCCAAACAGTATCTGAAACTGAGAAAAAGCTCCGAGGGGGGAGCATCACCATCCTCCCCAAGCCAATAGCTCAGAAATTCCAGAGTGCTTCCCCACTCAGCAAATACAAAGAAAGGGATCCTCTCATCCCAGTTGTTAGTATTGTCTATACCATAGGCTTGCATCATTGTCTTGAGGGCTTGATGTAATTTCTCTATTTCCCCTTGAGATGGAGGGTGATAGGCCATTGCAAAGTTAGGCTCTACTTTTAATCCCTTCAAAACATTTCTAAAAGACTTTGAGGTAAAGTTAGGACTTGCCAAAACAAATGAGGAAGGAAAGTTTGTTATCAGGTTACGAGGTATTTTTCTTCAAGGATGGTCTTTTTGCACTGCTTGAGGAAAACAAACTTGAAAAAAGAACTTCATCAAAACCCTTAAGACTACATGAGCAGTTATCTTATGCAGAGGGACTGCTTCCAGGTACCTGGTAGTGGAGCAAATATTTGTGAGTAAATAATCATTTCCCAGTTTGGTCCTTGGGAATGGACCAAGTACATCTACTACCAGCTTGCTGAAGGGTTCACCTGGTGCTGAAATAGACTGGAGGGGAACAGGTTTAATACTTAGACTAGGTTTCCCTATAAATTGAAAGACATGATAGGTCTCAATATACTCTCTGACAGTCTCCCACAGCTGAGACCAGAAGAAATGCCTGGAAACCCTGGATACTGTTTTAGCAATACCTAGGTGTCCACCTAGAGGTGTGTCATGCACTAAGCTAAGAACATGGTTTCTATAAGGCTCAGGCACCACGACCTGGTGACAAAACTTGGCTCTCCTTCTACTGGTACTGCAACCGAAGGTGCCTTCTTCATGAGTATACCTTTCCTGAAATAGAAGCATTTATTTAAACATAAAGATTCCTCCTCAGTCACAGCCGAGGCTCTGATCGACTTAAGTGTGTCATCACACCCCTGTGCAGCAATTAACTGCATCATAGTAGGCCCAATCTCCCTCACACTACTTCCTTGATCTCTGCACTGATTAGGCTCAACTCGGGTTGTGGTATCCTTTTCTTTAGTTGAT